TGCACATAATGTATAAAGAAAAAAAGAACATGTTGCAATGTTGATAACTCAAAACTAATAAAACTTAATATTAGGTAATGAGAAGTTAACAGAAGAGAAGCTAACAGAGCAGACGATAAGGAATATTTTCCAGGATTAACTTAGCACCAAGAAATTCTTGTGGTTAGATAGATACAGATATTGCAGAATTGTCTAATAAGTGTCCTGACAAATTTCTTAGAAGGAAGGTCAGGTTGTACCAACCTCCTTACAGAGTTGGGGAAGGCAGCCTAGAAGATCAGCATTCAATTTCATGGTTTACACAAAAAAAAGACAGATTTTTTTAAATCATTTCACCACAAGTAAGGTGAAAAAGACACTAAGATGCAAGGGGTTACTGAGAGTGAAAGAGAATGAAAAGACTTTAGTAAAGAGAAAGGACAATTAAAGAACAGGGTTCAGGAAGACAGAAGATAGTGATTGATGTTGCATTTAAATTTTTTAAGATTGTAGGTGACAGAGAAGTAAGAAACCAGAAGAGAGTTCCACAGGTGAGAAGTGCAAGAAAAGAAACTATTAGAATAGAATTTATGGTTACATCTAGCTATTTCAACAGTAAAATGACAAGACCTAATTAATAATCCAGTAGTACAATTAAATTCATGTGGTCAAGATACCAAGGAGGAGAGTTCATTTGAACAACTGCCATGAAAATATTTATAGAAAAGACAGAGGGAAGCCACATCACAGTTGTGGGCAAGTGACTGAAGTCAAAATGGCAGATCAAGACCAATAACATTAGAGATACTTCTTTGGATTTTGTCAGCAATTTAGAGATATACAGCTGGAGCACCAGACCAGATATGACAGAAATATCCAATGCATGGTAGATTTATAAATGTGCAAAATGGATTCTGACAAGAAAAATTGTCTGGCACAACACAGTGAACCAACTTTCCTCACAGCAAACCTAGCAACTGATTCAATATAATCACTATGTCAATAAAAAATGTGAGTCCATGAAGACACAAGTTGCTCTCCCAGGGGTTAGCATCTACCATGCAGACAGAGGACAAAAATGGTTATCTATGATGATTAAAACTAAAAGATAGCAGTTTTCTTTTGGAAACATTAAAATTTACAAGTCAGTTAACAACTGATTGGAAGTCATTTTTGAGAGCAGCTGTCAGTTTTACTTTGTCAGACCTATTAAACTTACTATTATTAAGACTGGTATCAATAGTTGTTTTATCAGCATAATTACCTAGTTAAGAACTGATGACATCAAGAAGGTTGTTGACTTCTAGGTGACAAATAAGCAACTATCTCAGACATTAAATATCACATATAGTAATAGGGTGAAATAGCATCATCAGGGCTTACTTGAAATATTCATAGTCATTTACTAATTTTAGTTTGGTACAAAGACATGGTGCTATTAGAGAGTTTTGCATCAAAACATCTTACTTCTTAGTTCTCATGCATTTAAAATTTGCATTATGATACAGTGTAACCCGGATATATGAGAGTTGTCGGGACCGGAGAAGAAGTCTCTTATATCCGGGTTTCTCTTATATCCGGGTTTGGTCTATTTTATATATTAACACAGGCTCTAATTTGGGACCAGAGAAAATTTCTTATATCCGGGTTTCTCTTATATCCGGGTTACACTGTATTTAAATTGAACGTCTAGAATCTACATTAATAAAAAAAAAAAAAAAAAAAAGGTTTTTCTGCATTTTTAATAAAAATTCAAAGAAGCAGTACTGTAAATAATATAGAAAAAATGATGAAATTTTGAGTCTTTGAATCTTTGATTCCACAAAGAAATTCTGCACGATTTGTTGGTCCATTGCTTTGATTTGCCTCTTTGCACATAACTTTCAAATGGCTTCCTTTCCTAGTGTTCACCTACAGTAAATATGGCGTTTTGAGAGTGGTTGCAAAAGTTAAAAGTATGATAGCCACAAATGTGAACATCCAGTGAGGATAAAACAATACAATAATACAAGCTTGCTAACCACACAGGGTAACACAAATTTACGAAGCTTAGTTTAAGCACCATGTGAGGATCGAACTCGCCACCAATAATGATCAACGACTACGTGGTTACTACTCCAGTTTACTGTAGACAAACTGACTTATATAAAATAAACTAGATATCTATTTAAAATTTTAAGTGTATAACTTCTTTTTCAATTATTAGTCTTGCTTAGTTGTTTGTAAGTAAAAGCCAAAAAGAAAACGTTACTTAAGCTTGGGGTGCCCAGTGATGAACAAACAATATGACATTTTAATTGCGATAATGATCAGAAAAGATACGCATGTACATTTCACCTTAAACACCGTTTCTCCAATTAACATGCCAGAATTTATTACAAAGGTAAATAAAACTGTTTTGACATTTATTCACCAAACTCTCACTCAACAAAAAAGAAGAGCAACGCAAACGAAATTATCACTTATCTTTATTTTTTTGAGGGTAAAGATAACTAATACAAAACTTATATAGTCTTTTCATCAAAGAACCCTAACAAATTTGTAATTAGAATTATTAAAGATTATATTCATCTTCATGTGATGCTGTAGTGTATGCAATGCAGCAATCAGGGACATATTTCCAAAGTTACTTTTTTATCCTAAATAAAAATCCAAAAAACAAACTACGACATGAAGTCGTGGCTCGTACTAAGTAAAAGAGGTAAATCTGGTTGGAAACCGATATTAATCGCCTAAAAAAAAAAAAAAAAAAAAATGATTATACCTCATTATGTATAGTCTTCAAAATTAAAACCAAGAATATTGACCCGAAAATATTCTTTTAACGACACTTCGAGAAAGAAAAAAAAAAAAAAAAAAAAAAAAAAAGAAGTATGGCTTTCATTAGTAATAATGGTGGTAGTATAGTTACAACACAAAACAACGTGTTCTAAGTTGCCTAGTTTAAAAACTTTTCAGAAATATGAACTCTTATGGCTTTGTTCAAAAAGAAAAATTAAATTAAAAATCTACATTAAATACCAAATTCTACCCACTTCATGCATTGTACAGGAATGTTCAGAAGAATTTCACATCAAGAGGAAGGAAGTCACAAAAAATTGCAAACCTAACAACTTTTAGTTTTACTCAGTCTTTCTCATGCCAACGAAGAAGCAAACAAATCAGGATTATAAATAAAATCCTTTACTGAATAAATATTAAATTACCCCCAAAATACAACTATGTTACGTTAATTACAACTGCTATTAGTTTATAAAAAAAAAAAAAAAAAACTACATTAGCTTAAGTGAAAAATAAATAAAACTAGAACAAAAGCTTGCTGCGACAAAAAGTATAAAAATTGAAAAAAAAAACATTCAAATTAAAAGAATAAAAGATGAAATACAAAAAACAACATTGATAAAAAAAAAAGTGTTACAATAGTTACATCATAAAGAAAAAAGTTAACATAAAAAATGTCTTAGTCATCGAAATTTATGACACGCAAGTCAACACCTACTGTTTTCTTTTTAAAACCATACATTACAAAGTTTTTAAAAACATCTTTTTTTTCTGAATTATGAACCGTTATTTATTTTCATTTCTAAACTGAAACAACAGAACATCGTTATGGTAATTAAATTATTGTCACTAAGGTTCTAAAAACCGAATTCTTTCTTGGTTTAAGTAATTAATTCACAGATAATTGATTAAAAAAAAATTCAAAACAAAATACATGTGTATTGTTGCTTGAAAGCTAGCCACTGAAAATCGAATTGATCAATGTTATTTTATTTTCAATATTTATTTTAAAAACAAAACTCAAGTCAGAATTTCTTTAGTCTCAAACAAGAAATTCTGATTAATTTGAGTTATGAATATTTTTTTCAGTCTGTAAGTAAAAAAAAAACAAAAACACTATGAACTAAAAACTAAAGTTTACACTTTTTACAGAGACTGAAAAAAATCCACAACTTCAAACCAAACAAAAAAATTTTTAAATATTGAACTGGCAAAAGTTTTACAAACTGAAAGATAATTTGTTTTCTTTAGTTTAAAGTCGTTTATAAATACTTTCCCAAATTCAAAATTCATTGTTAATCTTTGTTTCTTCTTTTTTCTTTTTATCCCAGTTGATTTTAATTTCAGTTTACTAATATGGATTATTAACTGAATATTTTCATAAGGAAGCTAAGTCGTTAGAATTCAATTTAAGAAACAAACACTGGAAGAAAAACCTACAGAATCTGATACCAATCATTAGATTAAAAATAAAATTTACTAAGTTTCCTTTTTGTTTTACTTTTCACTTTCCAGCCTCAGTGGATTTTTAATTTGTAATTTAATTAGTTAAACTTATCGAAAAATGATTTGACATGCAAAAAAAATTATGGTATTTAAATTTGATGAGTGACCATTTTTTAAAAGCATTTTCAATTTTGTTTTTATGTTCGAAGTTTAATTGCAAAGTGAAAAAAAAGCTATCCCTATCCTGTGTTATTGTCAAATAAAATCAAATACGGGACAAGATCGTATATTTTCTAATCTCTAAAACTTGAGTGAGGTGTTCAAAATTGATTATGCATAATTTCCAAATCAATATTTTTCCTTTTTTATTTATAAAAAAAAAAAAAAAAAATTATTTGCTTAAAAAAAAGAAAAAAAATAGATGGTATCCCAAAACTCGCCAGAATTATTGCAAAAAAAGTAAATAAAACCCAATTTTATTTTTTTTATATAACCAAGTATTGAATTACTTTCTTTTTTTTTTTAGTTTTCGTCTTTTCGAAATCTTTAGTTGGAGCACACAAAATATTCTAAAAAAACTGAAAAATAAACGGAAGTTTATTTAAAAAAAAAATGTCAGTAAGAAAATTAAAAATTTGCTCTAACATTCAAACTCAAAGACTTTTGGAAGTTTAAAGGCAGACTGGCCGAATAATTCGATAATTTTTTTAAAAATTATAGTTGTTGCTTGAGTAAACTAGGACTACAAAAAAAAAAAAGAAAGAAAGAAACGTTAAACAAGTACTTCCACTTACCTTATAATGACAGTATTGTAGAAAATCATAAGGTTTTCGGAATTCGAATTCCTCTTCAATACCTCGGCTAGCCAGGACATCAGGCCTGTTACCAAAGTGATTTTGTTTACATTTCCGTATGCAGTTTGATCTCTTGAGAATCCTGAAGAAGATTTGCATTTCTGTAATTCGAGGTTTAGTACTCAATGCACCATCATCATCAGAGGATTTCTTCCGACACTCTCGTTTACAAGTAACCAAAGTACTTCGGTAGACACGGTAGTCAGTGAGGGCCCCATTCAAGTGAGTAAGACATTCGAACCAGCGTTGTCGTGTGTAGGCCTCGACTCCTTTATTATACAAGAGATCGTAAGTGTCCACTATCGATGAGACGAAATCGTCTCCAGCCAAAACCATACGACTATTTAAGCTGGCTATGGTAAGAACCAAAACCGTAGTTGTCAACAAAGATAGAGAATACATGTTTGTTTGGCTTTTTGTTTGTTTCTTTTACATCGCCCTTGAAAACAACTATTTAGACGTGACTGTCGGGTGTAAGAGAAGTTTTGATATAGTTAATTGTACAACTTTGCGAGCGACTACTAGTACTACGACTGCAAATATTACCTTCACCCCGACTGATATTGAAATAAATCCTGAAATAATAGCAGGTCTCAAAATAGTGTGATTTCTGCTTGTTTTAACCTGGGAATGGCGAAGATTTCGTCCAACTCTTCAAGTTATGTTCCTAACAACAAGTGAAACTACCCAGGAAATGCTGTGCTCATCAAATCAGCCGGTGAATATGTCGGCATGGAATGAGAGGGAGGCAAACTTCGAGAGGACGGGAAAAGACAGTATGGACTGTTCTGTTTGGCTGTTGCGTTAATGTAGGAGGCTTGCTGTTGAGAAATAGCACACAAGTATGTGTGTAGACATACGTGTCAAGATGCGTGTGATATATTTGCGCGCCTAAGACGTAAAAAAAAAAGAGTGAGAGAGAGAAAGGCTGACTTATAAAGGTGGAGAGAAGTAGCAAACAAGTTCGAGTAAAATAGAAAGAAAAGAAAAAACAAAACAACAATAGAGCAATAAGTAGTCTTTGTAAAAGGATCAGCTGCGGAGAAAGTCTTAAAGTGGTAAGTAGAAAAGAGGAATGAGCAATGGAAGCCCACTTTGTCTACTCTAAAAAGTAAAAAAAAAACTCACTCATTCAATAAATCTTTGTCTTTCTTTTTCTATCTTTTCATGAGCCTAACTCGATCTTTTTAGTTTTTCTTTTTTACGCTCTTCTATTTTCCAGTGTTTATCTTAAAGAGTTAAAAAAGAGATGAGGAAAAAAAATTCTCGACTCTCTGAACTTCAATACTGACAAACATAATTGATGGCAAATAGTGGAGTATAATCAGCACTTATTACCACTAATCAACTGCTTACGAATCAGTTTTGCCACTCTGTGGAGCAATGGTTAGCATGCTATTGTCGTGGAGACAGACTAATGCCCTGAAATAAATTCGATCCTCACTAGATAGGTACCCAAATATTTCTTGTGTTCGATTAGACTCTCAGAACGCTTCGTTTCGTCGTAAAGCAATTTTTAAAGTAGTCTAGTGAGTCTCACAGACCATTATTATTACAAGTATGACTGTTTTTCGTGAGTTCGATTCCCTCAATGATTTGGTACCCTACAGACATTTTTTGTCGTACTAAAAATCCAACCTAATGAGAGTTTTACCAAAGGACAATTTAGCAAAGTAAGTTAATCTTACAAACTACTATAGAGGTATTAATAATTAATCATAGTCATACTTAAAATAATAAATAAACGTGCAAAGTTTTTATAGAGAAATGTTTATTTTCTTTGGAGTTATCCTTCTTTTCATACCAAACAATTCTACAGTTTACAAGGAGAAAAAGGAAGTATTTAGATTACAAGCATATATTGACTTATAAACTGTAGTTTGACTCGGAGGTGAGTCTTTTGATCTCTAGACGCTTCGCTTTTGCATAGACGAACTGATATTCTATGTTGACTGACTACGAACTGTTGCAAAATCTCGTATTTATGTTTTCAGGAGAGAAAAATGCGTACGTTTTTCAATTGACTAGAACCAACACCAATTCTCTTTTTGTCCAACGTTATCTGTTTTCTACTGTTTTTTCCATTTTCTTTCCGATAGATTTCTAATCTTATTTAAAATTTTATTTCGTCTACCTTTTTTCCTGGAAAATGTCGTTGTAAAATTATATATATATTAGTATTTTAGAAGAAATCATTTTATAAGTACATAATGTAAATAGATGCACAAATATATAAAAGGAGGAGGAAGGGCAAGGATGAGAAAAAATAAATGTGAAGTGGTAAATCGAAAAATATAGTAACAAAGAATAAACAACAACAAAAAGGCTAACCGGTTATCGCTCCTCGCTCTTCAGAGTCAATCGAGGACAAACATAAATATGTTCACAACAATTATATTTTTTCTCAATACTTTTTAAAATGTCAGTTTTAAAGCCCTTACAAAATTGTATGCACCCCCTAGATTATATGTATGTGTGTGTGTGTTGATCCTCTTTTTTTTTGTACGGCTTTCTGACATACTTCTGAAATTGTTACATGCCAGTTTTTTTATTATTATTATTTCACTCCAAGCAAGGTGATAATGCCACTAAGACTCAAGGGGTTCCTGCGAATGAAAAAAAAATGAGAAGACTTTAGGAGAAGGAACTGGGAACCCAGTCCTAAACACGAAACAAGGGATAAACCGCTACACTATGTTCAAAAGACGGGGAAGGAGCGATTTTGAATATTACTACACTATTATTTCTGTAAAGAGTTCGCTTCTAACTAGTCGCCCACACATGTGATTTTGTACCAGACTGGGCTAAACTTAAATATTGACAGTATCTTACCGTGTAGCAATGGTTAACAAACTAAATTTGAATGACCACTATAATTAGTTTGTTCTTCATTACATAACCGGTACTCGTGGATTTGTGTTAGCGTAATGTGTGCTTGGCCTTGGGTAATGGTTCGTAAGCTTAGTCTGGCAGAACATTTACAATCGCGAGTTCGATCCCCAATGAGTATCTCACATTAGTCGTTTTTTTTGACAGCTAAGCTTAATGAAACAGTGAGCTGAAAGTTCAAATCTCAGAATATCATCGTAGTCGATTCTTTTAAAGAACAAATGTCACATTTTCTTTATCATCAGGTCAGCTAATCTGAAACTGTAACAATAATTGGAACACTTGAAAAGTTCCAAACAAACAAAACTAGGCGTAAGAGGAGGCACGGTGGAATAATGGATAGCGGCTCGGATTGAGGAATCGGAGAGCCGAGTTCGAATTCCAGTCAGATCCATTACATTCTAAGGTATGAATCCTCTTCTTCTTCACCCCCCTTCACCCCCAGCAGGACAGACCAGGTTCTATAGCTTTGGATGGCAACTGGTCTACCGCAGAAAGAAATGGCAACTTACTGCGGGGGAAAAAAAATCTGCCTCTTCAGTCATGTATCGAAAGATACTTCGTGACGGAAGTAATTTTGTAATTCGTTACACCATTAATCGGTTTCGAGCCTGCATCAAATCCACAATATTTCGAATGCTAATTTTCCAGAAAGTCTCCTACATTTCCTCAACTTTATCCTCTTTTCCCACTCCTCTATTTTTACGAATTTCCCAATTCCCGCTTAATGTAGGTTTCTCACCCAGAAAATGCTGAGGATCGGATGCTACATAAGCAAGAAAGCGCAACAGTCGTCCATAGAAAAAAACAAACAAAATAAGGTTCGAATCCTGGAGACGAGATCGAGTTCCCTTGAGTGAGATAAAAGCGATCAGAAGGAGGGGATGCAGTTTCAAATTTCGATAGGATTACAGTAGGGACATCTTGAAAGATTGGCGTTACGCAGATTTCCTCCCTCTATTTTTACCCCAATCCTTTAGCCCTGTACCCATGTGTCATATTAAACTAAACTTATTAAATATTAATAATACTGTGGGAACTGCAGAAATACTAAATAAATTTGCTGTCTCTTGATCTCCAGTGAAAACTACAAGATATAACGAATATGAAAACTTAACATATTATAAGGAGGAGGAAGAGATTACTAAAGCCCCAAGGAGACTTATTGCCAATTAATTAATCTTAAACTAGATTCACGGCCCGCTAGATATAACTGATGTGAAAGTTTAACGTATCTTAATCACGGTTTTGATATTTGAATTTTCTGATGAATCATAATTAAGTTAATGATTGAATAAGTTTCTTGCTAGTTCTACGTCTATAAAAACACCCAATGGAAATTCCCTTATCGCCTCATTAAATATTTGAGCTTAACTTTAACAAAATATTACACTGACAATCATTAAAATTAAATAGCTTTAATGTTAACTTCATTTTCTGGATGAAAGAGAAGTTACGTGTGTAAAGTAGGATTTTATTCGTCTGAATTTTGTTCTGTTTTGCTGCGATGCGATTATATCGAGTGAGAAAAAAACGGATCAAATGTTAAGGTCGCTTGATAATCCAGTTTTTTTTTCCCATAGTACTAACTATAGTTTGGTAATTCATTAGAAATAATCTTTATCCAACCCTTAGAATAGAGATCTTATATTGAAATGGAAGCTCATAACAGATTTTAATGTTCAGTAAAACTATGATCTAACCAAAGATGGGTAAAGTGATATTCTTACATCGAATTAAATACGAAAGCAAGACACACGTAGAGAAATAATGCAAACGAATATACAGGGGTTGGACAAAATAATTGGAGCAGTTGCAAAATCCACTCCTATATTTCAAAGACCTATTATATTAAGAACTTTAACTAAAACTTCGTAATTGCAGGTTATATCTATTGTTTATCTAATTTGCTGTCTTTGTCTTATTTATTTTTAGAATTTATTAAAATTTAAGCTAAATGCGTGACCTCTCCGAGTTCGAAACAGAGCAAATTGTTGGAGCTCGCGTGGCAGGAGCCTCGATCACTAAGATTGCTGAACTGTTTGGTTTTTCAAGAGCTACCATATCAAGAACACTGATGCAATTCGAGAAACAGGGCAAGACCTCTAGCAACCGTAGCAATTCGGGCCGGACTTGCAAACTTACTGACAGGGACTGACGTGCATTGAAACGCAATGTGGCAAAAAATCATCGGACAAATGCGGCCAAAGTGACTTCTGAGATGAATAACCATCTGAATAGTTCAGTTTCTACTAAAACTGTTCACCGTGCGCTCCATAAGGCTGCATATCATGGCTGAGCCGCTGTGAGGAAACCTCTTCTCTCAACTCGCAACATTCAAAAGAGGTTGAAGTGGTGCAGAGATCACAATGCCTGGTTTGCAGACCAATGGAAGCAAGTCATATTCTCAAACAAGTCCAGTTTATCTCTTTTCCCAACTTCAGGGC